TATAAGTTAAATGTTAGGGAGAATGCAAAAACAATTCTGTGTTTTGGAGTTTGTGTATTGTGTTTGAGAGGCATGGTAAAATGATGTGCACAAAAGGGGAGCCCCGTTTCTATCATGTGTTGCTGAGATAAAATAAAAACACCCATGCTGCGATGTCTTGAAAACAATGGAGGGTGGAATTCTGTATAGAGATCAACCTGGTGAACATAGCAAAAGAATTTAAAGTGAAGAGCTCTGAGGACATGGAGACCAGAAGATAGGAGTTAGCAGGGAGGTTCTTACCTTTCAAGATGTGGAGGATTAATGGGGATACAATGACGATATTGAAGAAAAAATGCCAGAGGGTTGGAGATTAATTAGTGTCTTTACCTTCACATCCAGGAAATTCTTCCTTGCCTCCCTTTAGCTAAATTGTTAATAATACGGCTTAAAATCATGGGAAACATTTTATCATAAAGAAAACCAAGTACTGTTCTGAGAGCAACTGCTTGATTTAGACTTTATGCCAGTAGAAAGCCTTTTCCCTACTCAACAAGGTGAAATATGTAAGGATAACCCTCTTATATTTACAAATGGATAATTATAGTAGGGAATCCAGATAGAATCATCATTTAACCATGGGGGATTGAAGTTTCTTGGGGGAATTTGTGCAACTTTGTTATGCTCCACCCCTGAGGGACAGCAGCTTTCTGGGAAAGTATAAAAAAGTGAAAACAAAACAAAAAAAAAACTTATATAAAATTATTTTTACTGTATGAATTCTGTCTATATTTGTCTACATGTGCATATGTATACACATGCATGTGTTTTAAAGGAAACAAACAAAAACCAAAACCCTGAATCATTCCTTTCAGTATACATCAGCATTTAAGGTAAAGATTGAGAATTTCTACTTGGTTTTTCTTCTGTCAGATAATTTTTGTAAATATTTTACTAAATGGATTTTTTTGTTTAACTAAGAAGAGTATCAGATATTTTCATGGTCTCCCAGAACATAACAGGAATAGAATTAATGTTTGGTAAGTGGATTCCTATAAATCAGAGTTAAGTAACAGATGAGAATTACAGAGTCAAGGGAGTGTCCACCACAGGGTTGGCCATTTCAATATAGCAAGGGTGGTTGGGCAGAAATGCAATAAAATGGAAAGTATTTCTAAGGAAAATGGTTTGATTGTTTTTCATGGATAAAAAGAATTAATATTTACATTGCACTTGATATTTTTAGCCGTTTTCCATTACATTTTCTTATCTAATATTCATTGTAAACCATAAATAAACATTTATTTCTATATAAATCTATTGAGAAATAATTTACATAAATGAAATAAAATACACTTGCTTTAAGAGTACCTTTTGATGAGTTTTAACAAATTTATACAACTGTGTAAAAATCACAATTATAATATGGAATATTTCCATTATTCCCCAAATTGTCTTAGTATCCACATCAGAAAATTCTCACTTAACCTGGCTCTGAGCAAATGTTTTATTTTGCTTTATGTGATTATATGTTAGAGTCATCTTTTCTAGATTTATATATACATGCAATTAAATCGCATGTACTCTTTTGTGACTAGCTTCTTTGGCTCACAATGATGTTTTGAGATTCACCTATGTTGACTGTTTCAATAGTTCATTCATTTTTATCTATTCACCTGTGAATAACCTTTGGATTGTTTCTCAATTTTAGTTATTATAAAGAATAATAAAGATATTATAAAGAATAATAAATCTGAATAATAAATAATAATAATAATGCTAGGAACATTCACTAAAAGCCTTTCCTAAGTTGATAACCTATGAGGGGAATGTCTGTATTTACCTTTTCCACTAAAGTTTATATAACAATCATAGTTATAGTAAATACTTAATTTAAATTTCCTGAATATAATTCCAAGATCTAGGTCATCTCTGGGTCTAGTCCCAGGAAGTCAGCAGAGACTCTTGATACTATCTATATAGTAACCTCCCAGGAAGTGGATCAAGTTAATAAGAGTAGAAAATGGGTGATTATTTTGCATAATCCTG